GAAACAGGAACCTAATAGGGTTACCAGATTCCGAAACCTGTTTCCACAAAGCAACATACAGACAATTAGTTTTTCTTCCCAAAAAAAAAACAAACTCGGCCTCGGGTGTTACATTTTTGTTAACTATAAGGCATATCCGAGTCTTCATACACAAAACCATCTGTAAAACCAAACCATGTTAGGGATAGATCGCGTTACCTCTTCCATATTTCCCGGTGACATGAGTTCCTCAGTTCCTCCAGGAGTCCATATCTTGATGTCACTCTCGATTCCACTGCTACACATCAGTGGCAAGTGAGGATGAGACTCTACACAGTTGACGACATGTCTATCTGCTTCCATCTCACGTAGAAGCTCTCCGTCTTTCTTCCTCCAGATGAATATTTGGCCACAGTCAGAACCACTAACCACATACTCACACTTGGGTCCATAAAAGTTCACACCTTTGACTGTTTCACAGTTCCTGTGCCCTTTGTAAACCTGCGGCGGCCTCTTCTCCTCAGTCTCAGTCAATGGATTTGGGCCAAGCCCCATATCAGGGCTGAAAAGATAGATGAGCTCGTCACAGTATGAAACAAGGAGCTCACTTTGATCTGAGAAAGCCAGACCAGTTATTCCTTCACGCCCATTTTCAATCAGATGGCGAGGACAAAAGTGGTCTACAGGTTGGGCAAAATTATACCAGCCCTCTGAGCGATAGCTGCGAATATCATATACACGAGCATACCCATCCATTCCACCCACCGCAAAAAGACCTGGGTTCCTTGGATCAAGTGCAATTGCATTCAAGTAGACGACTAAATTGTACTTTGCTTCTTTACAAGTGAAAAGATTTGTAGCCACCCGAGTCCTAAGATCAAACTGAAAACAATGAAATCATGTTGTTATAGGTGGTCTTCGTTTAAAAATCACCATAAAAACAAAGGCAAACTGGAAGGATTGTTCTGTGGATAAATACAACTCACATGCTTTACAACCCCATCCTCACCACACGTATAGAATGAGAATGGACTTCCCGACTCAACAGCCAATTTGTGGACCTGTCCATTATGTTTACCCAACATAGAAGTCTCTACTTGTCCAGACTCGAGAATTTTGGAATAGCGGACCTGGGAGTTTGAATATAATGTCACAAATTCTATATGAATGCAAAGGATATTTCACAGTAGTAGGAAAAACATGCTAGTTCTACATAAGCCAGATCTTTTCGTAGTGTGTAAATCTTCCCAGATATATCAATTTGCAATGCTCGCAAGGACAAAAACTGAACATGTATTTTGAGGAAGAGAGAGTGCACCTGTCCATCAGCAGCAGATGTGACAATGCTGCGATCGTCAGAGAAAGGCATAAATTTGGCTTGGAATATATTGTTGCGATGGCCAGAATCGAATGAGAGTTTGACAGTACCAGTCTCCCAATCCCAAAGAATGACTTGCCTGTCATCAGAACCTGAAAGCAGGATATCTCCATCTGCATTGAAGCTTACTGTGTTTACACAACCCTTATGCTTTTGGAGCTTCTTGTGGAGGCCAAGACGGTTTAATAAACCCTGGTCATACAATGATCAAACCCCAATATCATTCACCAAAATGAAATTTCTGCGAATAAAAGCACCACACACCAGGCATTGGACTAATAAAAAGGTTTATCATTTGGACTGTAGTAGAGGTAACAAGCAAACACATTGTGGAAAAAATACAAGGACGCATTGGGTTAACCCATAACAATAAGAAGATCCAGCATCTCCAAATGAAACACTGAACTCTACTACCATTGTTGGTAATCTATTGGGAAATGTGAAGGTAAACATGTAAGATGCAAGCAGTGAAGGTGAAGCTAAACATCATAACCCAAGGACCTGATTGAAGCAAGCAATGTAGAGATCAAGACAGAAATTCAAAAACAATTAGAAGCCCTAAACTCATGTTCGGGGTTGGAATCGAACCTGGCAAGA